GCAGACCTCTTAAGCAATAATTCCCCACTTACCTGTTCTCCTAGCCCCACGTTTGTTAGCCATGAATGAACGTCAGTCTGTGTGAATTTGTCTATTCCAAGTCGTTCACATAAAGCGTGATCTGTGTAGTATTCGTTCTTTGGGGAGTAGCTTCTCTCACTCAGTGGACTGTGCTTTCAGCGGTTCTCCATGTGGTGACGCGAGTCAGGACTTCTGTTTATACGGAGCAGTGTTCCGTTGAGTGAGCAGATCTTCGTTTATTGATCCATTTATCTGCTGACGGACCTTTGGGTTGTTTCCACCTTTCAGCTGTGCGAATGAGCCTGCATCCCTGCTGCCAAGTCTTTCGGATATTTAGGGATGGAATTGCTAGGTCATCACTGATTGACTATCGGAGACCTGTTCCAGGTGCAAGGGGATGATGGGGAACACAGCAGACATGGTTGTCCACCCGCAAGCTTTTCGCTGTAATGGAGTCAACAGACTTTAATCGAATAATCACATGATCATATTACATATAATAGCAATACTAGTGGTAGTTCAGTGGGGTTAGGACAGGAGTGTGGGAAACTGTCCTGAGAACATGATGGTTGATCTGTGGTCAGAAGAAAGAATAAGTTACCTGGTTGCAGAGCAGGGGGTGCAGAGAAGAGAGGCAGCTACAGGAAGAGCGGGTAACAGGCCCAGAACCTGAGGATCAAGCAGAGAGGACAGTGTCCATGAAGCAGAAGGAAGTATGGTGAGGGACGAGGCAGAAGAGACACATGGTGGCCCAGTGAGGCAGGCCTCGTAGACCTTGGCACAGATTAGGCTTTTCGAGTCATGTGAAGCTTTTGAAGTGATAAAGCAGAGTTTTGAGAATGATAGCATTTCCTTTCCAGAAGTTCCCTCTGCCTGCTTACGTGGACGGACGGCAGAATTGTATGGGGACGGCAGACCTGTGTAGGAGGCCAGTAAGGCAGTCACCATGGTCCAGAGAAGTTACTGGTAGAGTTAGAGAGGTCACTAGACTCGTGCTTGACTTGAGAGGTAGGCAGAGGAGATTGGATGAAGGTTCTCTTCTCTGAACCCAGAGAGAGTAACGCCTAGGTGTCCAGCTTTTGTAAGTGGAGTGAGTCCCAGCCATTGAGATTTAAAAAATAAACTCCTTGGAGGAAGATATAGTTTAGAGAGAGAGGGGAAAAATATTTCAGACCTCTGAAGTTTGAAGTGTATTTGTAACGTTATCTTGTTCTGTGTGTGCAGCTGCTTCCTAAATATTTGTATGTGGTTAATTTATCATAACCTCAAGCCTGATGTGTCTAAAGCGTGACAGCATTCTCTTCTCTAAGACACTGTCCTAAGATCCTTGGGTTTCTTGGTGATTTCACATCATCTCAGCTATGGACCGAAGGCTGAGTTCTCTCAGACCCTTCCCAGTGCCTCACATCTTAAGTTTCTCTGCTTCCTGCCTCAGTTTCCTTCCAATTTCATATCCTCATAAGCTCACTTGCACTGAGGCATCGTCCTTATGACTCCAGTGCACACTACTCACTGCTGCTAGAGGAATCCTTATAAAGAGCCTTTCTGGTCAGTCCCATTCCCTTCCCAGAGCACGTCCTTGGGCCTCGGTGTCCCTGCTGCTAGCCCAGTGTCCTCTCCAGCTCACTTACTCACACACCATGTTTTCAACCCTGTCCACTTGTTTGTATTTAAAAAAAAATCCCACTTGCTCCCACATGTGAATTTGATCTCTTCGGCTGGCTAATGTCCCGGTGTTGTTGCCACAGACACTTCATGTGAGCCAAGCCACGTATTCACTACCCTTGACCTCTCCTCTTGGTGTCCTGGATCGGCCACAGCAAAATCCCACAAAGTAAGTGGTTGTAAGGAAGACAAGTGGATTTTGTGATTCTGGAGGCTGTCGATCTAAGTTCAAGGGCTTGGCTGTGCTTTCTTCTGAAAGCTCCAAGGTAGGCCTTTCCCAGGCTTCTAGCTCCGCGTACTTCCTGGCAGCGCTGGGGGGAGCTCTGCTCCTTAGAGAAGCAGTTTGAAGGAGCAAGTGCCTCTCTGGTCATGTGGCTGTCAAACTCCTCCACATGGTGCCCTGTTTCCACACCTGTTCTCTCCTTTTACAAAATGTCACTCAGGAGGATTTACGGTTAGGATCCACTGTATTCCGGTAGGGCCTCTGGTAGCTTGATGTCTAGGGTATTGTGCTGCTGAGCAGAAATTAAGTGATTCGAATCCACCAGCTGCTCTTGGAGGGAAGGATGAGTGAACTGTCTCCTTCCATCAGTATTTACAGCCTCAGAAGCCCGGGGGAGGGGTGCTGTGAGTTGAAACCAACTCCATGGAAGTGTTTTGGGGTACTCTGTTAAGAAGTCCTGTTGGCATGGTGGTTGAAGTCATCTGATGTGGCAGCATTTCCCCAGAATGATTGCAACCCGGAAGACCTGGCCAGTGGGGGCGCTGTGAGCTGGAGTTGCCTGGAAGACAGTGAGTTTGGCTGGGTACTCTGATGGGATGGAGTTTGTAACATCTACAGATAGAAATTATTTCCAGAGAAGCTCTTCACAGGCACACGTCTTACTGGGAGATCAGTTCAGTCCAGAATACCTCCATCCCACTTTGTTTGAACCTTTCCGATGGCTGTTGAGGCTATGAATTTGGAGTTGTGGTCATTTGATCCACATCTTACCACTCAGACAAGACCCTGAATCCCCCGAGCACACTGCGCCTATCTTCTCTAGCTTCGTGACCCCAGTGCCCCGAGGTACTGGGTACCCTATCTTCCCTTTTTCTTTAAGTTGATCATAAGACTTTCTCAAGTATTTTAGGTGATTACAGGTATAGCAACATAGAGTTTGGAGTTAGGCTGGACCTCTGAGAATCCTTAAATAGTTCATGATTTTTAGATAGTGAAGACTCAGGTTTCTAGACTGGCTAATTTTCCTATTCCTGGATCTTCCAGCTTGGCCTCCTGAGCTATCTGATCTTGGACCTGTCATCCAGGGAGAACGCGACAAGGAGCCGCATGCCTGCCGGTTTCTCCTGAGTGTCACTTGACTTTTGTGTGGGATCAAGGCTGTCAGAGCCATAGCATGTCGTTGGCCAGGGGCAGAGCCGCTGTGAGGTCACGCTCATGTCTCTGAGCTGCATATTGACCTCATTGTCGTTCTTACTTCCTTGCTGCTACTAGAGTGTCGCTGAGTGTCTGGGCTGTGTCGTTCCCATGAGGCTGGCGTGTAGGAATGCAGCGGAGCGTTTACCCACCTCTTTCTCCCCAGTCCAGTCTCATAGTGACTCTCTGCTGGGTTTCCAAGGCTGGAAACCTTTCCAAGAGGCCGTCTGTCTCTCTCTCTGAGTAGCTGCGCCATCCTCACCTCATCTCCTCCCGCCCCAGCCCATTGATTCGGTCACTGTCGGTCCACCTCCCTGAGGCTGTTCAGCTTTTCTTCTGACACCCCCCCAACCTTGCCCAGCGTGCCGTATTTTGCTAAGCACTGGCCCCTCCTACAATGTGCCCAGATTGTGTGAGGTGAAGTTTCGTGGCTGTACTTTCTCCAGGATGTAGTGTTGTTTTGGCAGTCCATAGGATTTTCAGTACTCTTCTCCAACACCGCAGTTGAAAGGCATCGATGTTTCTGTCATTCTTGGTCTCTGTCCAACTTTGAGATGCATAACAAGTAACCGAAATGTGTTGACAATTAAACAGGTAAATTCAGACACACATGTTCACAGGGACTGCGTAGCACTTTTGAGCATAGCTGTTTGGATTCCAGTCATGTCTTGGCACCTCATCCCACAGTAAGTGCTAAACTAAGGTACACAGAGGCCTGTGGGAGACACACTCACTGCTGTCCTTGCGGAACAGCTCTGCCCTCTGCTCCGCACGCCAGTAGCAGCTTCCCTGGTTGGTTGGCCCTGTCTGCCGGGTACTGTGCTCACCTGTCCTTTGTTCCTGGTCCGCTGAATCCTCTCGAGAGATGCAGTGGCTTGCCAGTGTCATCCAGCTAGGAAGTGTCCGGACTCAGGTTTCACCTGGTCTGGCCCAAAGAAATTTATTGGGTTTAAGGGCAAGCTCATTTTATTATGGGTCTTCAGATACACAGCCCCAGACCTTGGCTTGAATCTGCTCCGTATCTAGTAGTCAAGTTATTGGAAATGTTAAGACTTTGGTTGTTGCGCTGGAAGACAGGGATTCCAGGGCCCTGGGCCAGCTGTCAAGGTAAAATGAGGCACCGCGCTGGGCCTCTACTGCAAGACCAAGCACGAAAGAGGTCACTTTGTGACAATGGTTGCTCTGTGACTTCAGTGACATGATACCGTCCTCCTAGCAATCTATGGGCCAGTCCCACTGTGCATTGGAGTAGGTTGCTATGCGTAAAAGGCCGTGTGCTTTCGGGAATTGGCCTGATGACTAAGGCAGGCACTCCTCCCGATGTGGGTTTCCCGCAGAGTGGGGATACAGACATGTGAATACATGGTGCGAACAAAATGAAGCAAACTCTGGAGCAGCCGGCTGCATCACACCACGGGCCCCCAGAGGAGGAAGCTGCTGCGTGTTCTCAGTGGAGAGCAGGGCTTGCATAGAGGTGATGCCTGCGGAACCAGACCGGAGTGCTAGGGAGCATTTTGGTAGTCGGGAAGGAGATGATCAAAGGCAGAGTGAACGTCTCGAGCCAAGTGTAGAGGCTTGCTTGCTGAGGAAATGCGTTAGGACGGGTGGAGTTCCCTGTGCCTGGCACACAGAGACCCAGTATCTCCCAGCCTGTTGACTTGTGTAGCTGGTGTGGTTGTTGGTCTGTAGACAGGGTGGGATGGGCCACGTTGGGGCAGAACCGACTGTATTAGCGCTTGCTCTTTCTCGTGTTCGTTCATAGGGGCTGAAGGGTTTTGGTTAAAATTGCCTCAAATGTACATGGTGGTGGTCTTTCTTCTTGCTACTGATAGATTTGAAATGTTTTTATTCTTTCCTACCAGAAATTTTTACTTTGTGTTTTTTTTTTCCATTACAGGATTCTGCTCTAATACTTGATGTTCCTCTGGGTGTGATCTCAAGAATTGAAAAAATGGGAGGCGCGACAAGTAGAGGAGAAAATTCCTATGGTCTAGATATTACTTGTAAAGTAAGAGATTCAATACTTTCTTGCCCAGAGAAAAACACACATGAATGTTGAATGATAGCAGAAAGTTGATGAGTGTTTCAAAAAAGATCCAAGTCCCTTGTTCACCTAAGAGCCTAGAAATGGTCCTTCACAGCCTCACTGCCAAGCTTTCTGAAAATGGCTGAGGGAGATGGTCCCTAGACCTGCTGGTGTCACCAACCGTGAGGAGTCAGTGACCTGATTGGATGTTAGCTTGACTGAGTATAAAGAAAACTTTCTAGAAAAAAAAAGTTCCAACTCTTTTAGTTCTTTCCACAGTCAGCTCCAGGTGTCTGCTGGTCAGGACGCATGTGCCTCGCCCCGTTGGAGGACGGACTCGGCCCTTTCCCTTCAAGAATGGCTCCTGTCCCTAACTCTTAACGTCTATATGTAACTTTTGCTTCGATCATTTCTAATGACAGTTGATTAAATTTTTTAGCATGATGAGAAGCAGAAGTTTGATAACAAAATGTAATGAGTTCCATTTTATTGAAAAGAGGTGGATGAAGGTTTACACATTGTATTGATAAGGGAGCCAGAGGATCAGAAGAATTGGGTAATTTAACCATGGGATCCAGTCCTAGGGAAGTAACCCTTTTATGCACATCAGAGTGAATTCTCTGGCATGAAACCTGCCCCCCAGGTATTGCCTGTCAGTCGACAGGACTCGGTAGAATATTGCTGGATCCTGGAAAGAGCTGGAAGGACTTAGGGAATTCTTGTCTTCCAGTGCCTCTGGAACCTAGGTCTGAGTCAAGATGACCTTGGGAACTCTTTGCAAAATGTAGATCTTTGGGTTCTACTCAGAATCTAATTGTGACCTAGTCTCTGAAGGTTTGAACCCAGAACGTTGAGACTAAAGCATCTAAAGGGACCCTTGTTGACCTTAAGGGGCGAGGGTGGAGGTAGAAACTCTTAGAAGGAAAGAAGTAGCCATTGCTTTCCCAGGTGGACTGTTGACACCTTGCTGTAAGGTTTGAACTTTCATAAGACATGTAGTAAGTTTGATAATAAAATTCTTAACCATAAAAAAAAATAATTCAAGCAACTCGGGTAACTGTGAACCATAGCAAAGGTCGGCACACTTCTCCAGTTAAGAGCCAGATAGTAACAATTTCAGACTCTCTGTGGTAAGCTCTTCTTTTTGTTTTAGTTTCCCCCTCCCCAACTTCCAGAAAATGAAAAGCATTCTGACCTGAAATGTCCTGCCTTCTCCTTTGCAGAATGAGGCTGTTTGGAGTCAATGGAAGAGCTCGGTCTCTTCTATTTATGTTTGGATTCTGAACATATTAGGATATTTTCATCTTCAGTTTATAAACAGTCAGGACTCTAGTACAATCCTGTTACGATCAAAGGATTGATTTTAAACTTAAATTCCCTGTCACTCCCTACTCATTTTAAAAATTTTGTTTCTGTGTTAATGCAAAGCTGCCTTATTTCTAATTCCAGCTTGTGAGCTGCCTTATTTCTAATCCCAGCTCCTGTCTACACTTTGGAGTCTATATACATGGAGATTAAATTTCTCAGATTATTTTTTCTTGTAGAAATACACAAACAACACAAGACTCACAATTTTTTCATTTTCACGTACACAAGTTAGTGGTGGTGGTTACATGAATCATGGTGGCCAGCTACCAGCACTATCCATGGGTAAATTTCCATCACCTTTAACTGAGCTTTATTTTAAGGAAGGATTTTGTGTTTTACATAAAAGACCTGTGGGAGTAGATTGTTAAAGTACCCAAGGACAGTGGGAATGGTATTTTTATCATTTTGAAGTAACTTTCTCCACTAAGGTTTTTTAAAAAATATATTTTGTTGCATTATCTTATCGCAAGAAAAAACTTGTGGTTGAATATTAGGTCCCAAAATTATTAAGATGAAGAGCATGCCTACCCTTTGTCAAAAAGCGTAAGAATCAAGAATGACTCACGATTCTCAAGTGTTACTGTTAGGTGCCTTCAGGTGCACAGAAGCCCTGTGGACAGCAGAATGAAACCCTGCCAGCTCTCACCCCCCATAACCATCGCTGTTCCAGGTGGTGGTGCTGGTGGCCGACTCTAGCTGACCCTCCAGCAGGCTTTCAGGGACTAAATCACATGAGAGGAGATTGCCCATCCTTCTCTTGTGGAGCAACTGGTGGATTTGAACCATGTGCCTTTAGGATGGCAGCACTAACCACTAAGCCACCAGAGCTCTCTGTTCTCACATGTTACATATGTATATTTCTTGGAATTTGGGAAAGGCCAAAGAAGATAGCCTAAAACAGTATAGTATCACACCATTTTAACCTGCATTATGCAGATGACACGACTTTGCTTGCTGAAAATAAGGAGGATATGAGACGTTTGCTGCAGAGGATCAAAGACTAGCCTTAGGTTTGGATTACGTCTCAACATTTTGAGAAAACAAAGGTCCTCTCCACAGGACCAACAACCAACACTGTGTCAGAAGAAGGAAGGATTGAAGCTATCCATTATTTCATCTTCTCTGATCAACAGTCAACACTCTTAGTACCAGCAGTCAAGAAATCAAGAGACATGTTGCATTGGGCAAGTCTGCCGTGAGGGACTGGTCCAGAATGCTGAAGAGCAGTGATGTCTGTTTGAAGACTAAGGTGCACCTAACCCAGGTCTTCTCAATCACCTGCTACACATCAGAGTTGGACGATGGGTAAGGATAACAGAGAATTGATGCCTTTGAGTTGTGGTACTGGAGAGGAGCACGCCTGTCCCAGGAGCTGCCAGAAGAACAAACAGATAGGTCTCGGAGAAGGCGCAGCCACTGCTCCTTGGAGGCAAAGATGACGAAGCTCCATTGCTCATGCTTTGAAGGCTGGAAAGATGGAGGCTCGGCGAAGGGGAAGACCTCCAGTGAGACCGATCGACACAGTGACTCGCAGTGCGCTCCAGTGTGCCAGAGCTGATGAAGGCAGCACCGGGGAGGGCAGGGCTCAGCTCGCCTGGTCACAAGGTCCCTGTGAGTTGGACTTGACTTAACGGCACCTAACAACAACATGTCGTTGAACGGTGATCTCTCCCTGGCAACACCTCCAGCATAAGAACCAGACTCTGTGTACTCGCTACAAGTGATCTTGAGAAGGACATGGTGGTGTGGAGGCAGCGCCAGCTTCTCTCCTCAGCTGACAGTAACCGCAGCCACCTGCTGCCCCACCTGTGGGGGGTCACGCCTCCCACGAGGCCTTTCTACTCACCTCCCCCCCAGCGGCTGCCGTCACTGCTGGCCCTGAGCCGCTATGGCGAGCAGGTGGACCGCGCGCAGGGATAGCTCTGGATGTGGAATTCTTCCCCTAGGTCACGTTTTTGCTTCTGCTGACAACCTTACAGAAGACAGGTGGGTGGGGGAAGACCATGGCCCCACAGAGCCACCTCTTTCTTGCTTTCAGCCCCACTCAGTCCACCAAAAGACAGTGTTGTATTTGAAGCTGGAAGGGAGTTGTGTTTTCTTCAGAAATCTTGTGGAAGTGATGCCCCAGTCAGTCAGCCTTCAGACCCGTAAGGGGTGTGCTTGCATGAGCTCTCGTTGGCTCGCGAGGCTTGGAGCAGCCCTGCTGTGTGACTCAGTCCCTGGCAAGCTTATGGTGGCAGCCTCTCTGCCGGCCATCCTTCCCTCGCAGGCAGACTCGGAGGTCCTGGCGGAGCTCCTTACGTAGTGTGTGCTCAGATTTTTGGGAGACATTTGGTGACCTGTTGCCTGTGATTAATTTATCTTTGCTGCTTTCATTTTCTTGTTGGCAAGATGGCAGTGTAATTCCTTCTGCCTTCTAATTAGATCCGAGTTGGATGTCAGAAAGCCGTTGCTGGAATTATTTGTACTTTGGCACGCTGAAAATAGTTGATGGAATTACAGATGGAGCAGAATCTATCTGGATCTAGAAATGATCTCTTTTCTGGCCAGGTGCTACTGAGCTACCATCTAGCCCTTGACTGTTAGCAAGAAGGTCCCCACCGATCCTGGATCCCTGAGGGCACTTGTGTTTCGGGGTGCTTGTTAACTCTGCCTGTCATCATTTGACTCGCTTTGCATCATTGACCCACAATCAAGAGTGCAGGCTTACGCAGGTGTATTTTGTTAAACTACTTTGAAGAGGGTGTGTTGGTTGGTGGCTTTATTCTGTTCCTTTTAAAAATGCAAGCACAAAGCCATAGAGCCTTCAGGGACCGGCAGATGCCTGTGTGGGGAGTGATCAGTCGCGGTCAGTAGTGGCTTCATGACGGAATTCTTTGCGTGCGGCTGCTGGCATTTTGGCTTCTATCTGGAGCTCTGGAGGTCCGCCCCGGCTCTCTGGGAGAAAGAGGGAGAGTCTCCTCCTGTCAAGACTTAACAGTCTCAGAAACCCAAGAATGGTCTCTGTGAGTCAGAACTGATTACATTCTGTGGCAGTGACAGGAGGTGTGTGTTTTTGAGTTTGGTGATATTTTTAAACATATTTTAAAAAATAGCAAGACTTTCTGGTCCCTCAGAACAATAACTTACTAAGCTTTAAGAATCCTCTTGAAATAAGAGATGAGTATGTTTTCTGACATATGTAAGGACTCTGATAGGCAGGAGGGCAGGGACGTTTCTGAACAGACAGTGTGCTGCAGAGCATGGCCGCTGCTGGCTTCCAGCCATCCCACCGCCGCAGAGCCCTGCTCCTCTTGAAAGAAGACACTTTGCTAGATAGCATATGCTGACATTTGAAGAAGTCTCTTTGGGTTACGAGTAGTCCTGCTGGTGGTGTAGGTTAAGCACTGGGCTGCTGACCAGAAGGTGGGCAGTTCAAATCCACCAGCCATTCTGCCCTGTAGGGTCACTATGAGTTGGCATTGACACAACAGCAGTGGGCATTTTGTTTGGAAGGAGCCTTGCTGACACTGGTTCAGCTGTTAATTGAAAGGTTGCAGATTTGAGTCTATGACTGGCTCTACAGAGAAAGACCTGGTCATGTGCTCCCGGAAAGGCCGCCCGAGGACCTGATGGGGCAGTTCTTCTCTGTTGCTGTCAGTCAGAACAGACTCAGTGGTAACAGGTATTTTGTTTGCCTTCTGTTTAAAGGATGGTCCTGAACCCTTTAGCTTATTAAAGAAGTAGGTCCTGTTAAGTCTGGTTTGGATCACTACTGATAGATGAGGCACTCTGTGTGGTTTTATAGAACTCTGTGAAAGTTAGACTAAACAGTGGAAGCATATTGCTTATGTGATGGTGCAGCCACTGTGGAAGACAGTCTGGAAGGTTCTCGGAAAGTTAACCACTGAACTACCATATGACCCAACATTCCACTCCTAGGCATAGACCCAGAAGGCTTAAAAGCAGGGACTCAGACGCCAGTGCTCGCTGCAACACATCCACAGTAGATGAAGGGCAGAACCGCCTCAGTGTCCATCAGCAGACGAGTGGACAAGCACAATGGGGCCGTTCCGTCCAGTGGACTCAAGCCGCGACATAGATCAAACCTGGAAACGTGGCCCTGACTGAAATAAGTCAGCACCAAGAGGAATATTGTCTGGTCCCGCTTCTGGGGAATTGGTGACTGCCTAGAGCTCATGCTTGTTGCGGCTGAGTGACTCCAGCGAGCAGTGTGCTGTGTTAGTGGGGTCTGTGGTAGGCGTGGGCAAGGCGAGGGATGCCAGAAAACAAAGCATCTGGGAAGAGTAATGGAATAATCTAGACATGGATAGTGGTGATGGCGACACAACATGACGAGCATGACATCACTGAATTGCACATGTGAGAAATGTTTGAGAGGCAAATCTTTATATGTACATTTTCCACAGTCATTTTTTAAATAAAGTTTTTTCTTTTAATTGTGATTTTAACAAAAGTTTACAGAAAAGTTAATTTTCATTCATTCATTGTTGCACATTTTTACCCCCTTCACCCTCCTCTAGTTCAGTTTTTGGTATTTTTTTAATCATTCATTGATGCACAGTTATCTTCCTCCCCTCCCCCAGTCCTCTGTGCAGTGTGCCTCTTATTCCGGGCTATTGTCGTACATATAATGCCTAATCATACATTTCCTTCACCTGTTCCAGTGAACTGTTCATTATCGATCCACTCTGACCCCATTCTCCTCCCAAACCTACTTTATAACAGTAGTGCTATGCAGTATTTGTGTTTTTGTGATGGAAATATTTCACTCAGCATAATGTCCTCCAGGGTGTCCCATGTTGTGTAATGTTTTATGAGTTCATTGTTTTTCAGTGCTGTGTAGTGTTCCACTGTATGAATATACCATATTTCTTCTATCCATTCATTTGTTGTTTCCATCTCTTTGCTAGTGTAAATAAATAACACAGCAATAAACATGGGTGTGCATAAATCTGTTTGGGTGGTGGTTCTGGTTTCATTAGGGTATATTCCCAGTAGTGGCATTGCTGGGTCAAATGGGATTTTTATTTCCCAATTTTTTGAGAAAGTGCCAAACAACCTTCCATAGTGGTTGCATTCCCACCAGCAGTGAGTAAGGGTTCCAATCTCTCCACAACCTTCCAGCATTTATTGATTTCAGCTTTGCTGAACTTTGCTGCTGTTGCTGGGGTGAGATGGTATCTCATAGTTGTTTTGATTTGCATCTCTCTTAGAGCTAGGGATTTTGACCATTTCTTCATGTGTTTGTTCGTCATCTGTCTTCTTTGGTGAAGTGTCCGTTCATATCCTGTGCCCAGTTTATGATTGGGTTGTTTACCTTTATCTGATTGAGGTGCTGGAGCAGTCTATAAATTTTAGACATGAGTTCCTTATCAGATATGTCATTACCAAATTTTTTCCCCAGTCTGTGGCACCGTCATTCCTTAAAAGGTGCCTTTTCTGTTACTTGCATAAGCTTAAAATGCCAATCCTTTTCTAATTTCTATGCTTAGACATTCAAGTAAAAGCAGGAGGGAGTGCGTCTCAGTTCATGTTTGGCAATCTTGAGATGATACGTGAGAACAGGTCCCGTTTCCAGAGATTTCTCTGACTGAAATACTGTTTCATAACGAAACACCTCAGCAGCCATCAAAGCAGATAGACACTTCAGATCCTGGGCGTTTTGCTTCTTACCGAACCCATTTTGACTCTTTATTTCCTTTAGCACTAGTTATGTTGTTTTATTTTGCTTAGAGCTACGTGGGAATATTTTCAGATGTTCTTAAATACTTGAGAATATACATAAAAAGGTGTTCTTTGTAGTCTGCCTAATTGCCCTTTCAGGTAAGTGGATCTACTCTCTTAGTTAAATGGCTGATGAGTGGGGCTTTACCTGGAGGCTCAGCTGTCTCACTTCTCTTTTGCCCGCAGGACATGAGAAACCTGAGGTTCGCCTTGAAACAGGAAGGCCACAGCCGGAGAGATATGTTTGAGATCCTCACCAGATACGCCTTTCCCCTGGCGCACAGCCTGGTAAATTCCAGGGTTCTTTCCTCAGCATGGAACTTTTAGGGTGCCTCCTTGTTAAGTGAGACGTGGGCCAGAACTCTGCATGTCCTCTGCAGCCCACTTTGGGGTGTACCGTGTGTGAGGACCATCCTTGCTGCGGGCCTGGTTCACACAGACCCCTCAACCACAGAGCCCGTGAGGCTGATGGGCGCTTCACTCAGGGAAAGCCGTGCTTGGCCTGCTCGCTGTGTGGACTTGCGCGATGTGGACCGTGGGAGGCGCGGGGCGGTGACTGGGGCTGTGTGCGCTGCTGCCACTGTGGCAGCTAAAGGGTGCTTTGGGTCTGTAGGTGTTGCTGAGAGGATGTGGATGGGGTGGCTTTATGTCCTAAGGGGGTGGCATGTCAGCCATCAGTTGTTAGCATTTAGTCTATACTTGGCAGGAAGGACTTTTTATGCGTTTGATTAGCTATCATCTTTGACTTGGTCCATAAGGTGCTTCAATATGTGTACGTAAACTTGGACCTCCTAGTTATCCTCCTGATTACGAATTCTTCCTGGACTTTGGTTGTTTTGTTTTTCTGTATGTTCTGCCCGTTTGCTGCAGTCCTGCTTTGCTTCCATCTTTTTGCTCGCTCCCCTTCATCACCCGACCTCTGTTTTCGCCTCCTTTTGCTCTGGTCGGCTCTAAACATACTTGGAGGCAAACACAGGTTTAGGAGAAAACCAGAAAGAATGTGGACATATGTGTACACACACACACACACACACTCTCTCTCTCTCTCTCTCTTTCTCTCTCTGTCTGTCTGTCTATTTTAGGGTAAATATCTAGAAGGAAAGGGGCTCGTAGTACAGCGCATACCAAGTTTCTCTGCTAACTGAAAGCCGGCCAGCAGTTTTAATCCACCAGTGTCAGTCTTTGGAGAGGGACGTCATGCTTGGGAGGGTGGAGGGACAGTGCAGGAGAGGAAAACCCTTGATGAGATGGATTGATTCAGTGACTGGGGTAATGGGGATAGGTGTGTCAGAGACAATAAGAATGGCAAGAGCAGGGTTTAGGGCTGTTGTACATAGGGTCGCTATGAGTCACAGGTGACTCGATGGCACATAACAACAACTAGAGTGGGAGAAATGAGAACTGAACCCCCAGATCCAAAATTTTAGAAAATTCTATCCTCTAAGTTTAAATTACTAAAAATTATCTTTCAAAAAGGAAATACTTTAACCAAAATACCAAAACAGGTCAAGATATAGGCACACCCAGTTCTATTGCCCTTTGCTTTTTATTACATTTTGTGAATACATTTTTTTTAAAAATGGAAGGTTTATGGCAACCTTGCATTGTGCAGGTGTATCAGCGCCTTTTTTCCAATAGCATATGCGCATTTCGTGTCACTGTCACATTTTGGCCATTGTGGCAATATTTCACACTTTCCATAATGCCGTTGCTCAAAGATTGACAGCCTCTCAAAGCGAGTGGAAGGGCACTGTGAGTCAGCACTGGCTTGGAGGCAGTGGCTTCTCACCCACTGGGTGGACTTCTGGGTAGTGTGAGCATTACTTGTCTGTGCGCTCGGAAGCCAGGATTGGTGTGACGTGCTTCACTGGGACAGTCGCTTCGTTGTACACCAGCAGTTGTCACTGCCTCTAGAATACTAGTCCCCAATGTTCGAGAAGACATGTCTGTCACTTCAGAAAACAGTGTGAGTGCATGTGGAAGAGAGTAGTTAAGACATGTGAGGACTGGGACTGGAAAAATGATACCTGTGACATCGCTTCCTGCCTCACACCAGCTGTCAGGACACACAGACTGACAGGCAGTTGGTAGAGACATGGGGTGATGGTGGTTGTTGTTATGTGCCGTCAAGTCGCCTGCGACTCATAGCGACCCTATGCACACAACTCTGAACCCTACTCTATCCTGTGTCAGCCTTACTGTCTCTGACACACCTACTCCCATTATCACGGTCACTGAGTCAATCCAGGGTCTTCCTCTCCTGCTTTGTTCCTCCACCCTCCCAAGCATGATGTCCTTCTCCAAGGACTTGTCCCTCCTGACCACATGCCCAAAGTATGTCAGACGGAGCTTCAGAATCTCTGCCTCCAAGGAGCAGCCAGGTCTCATCCTCTCTAGGAGATCTAGGGTTGTGGTCCTTAATCCTCTATCCTTTTAGAGTCATGGACTCTTCTGATCATATGAGTTCAGCTATAGTTTCTCTTCCCCCAAGAATGCATCAATACACAGAATTTTAACTGAAGTTTCATGGGCCTCCCCCCTGAGTACGTAGCCTTAGGGGACATAGAGAAGTCCAGAACATGAGTACTGGAAAAGACCAGCTTGTAGGAAGCAGAACTGGAAGCAGCCAAGGGAATTGGAGAGATAAGGAGATGAAAGAAAAACCTGAGCTGTGTACTGGGCAGAGGACCAAAGGGAGAAAGAGGTCAGGAAGATGGCCCTGGGCAGAAGCTGCTGCAGAAGAGGCCAGGAGAGAGAGGCTCTGGAAGAGACTGAGGTGTGACCACTGCAAGTTCCCTGGACACCCAGCCTCCTAACTGTGAAGTCTCGAGGTGGGAACCCCGCCCTCTGTCTTGAGCCTTTGTGCTGAGGACAGTGCCAGACTTAAGTATGCTGAACTCTTTTAGAATTTAAGAAAAATTACCTCAAGAAGGAAGGAATGAGAACCATTGAGCACACATTCCGAGAGAGAGAGAGAGAGAGAGTACGTGGAGGTGTGTGTGTGGTGGGGGGTGCAGGATGATGACTCAGTGCACAATTAGGTAAAGACTCTTGTGATCCAAACAGTGGCAGCCAAGTTGACAGAAGCATTTCATTTCCTGGAATCGGAGAAAATTGACCTTCCTTGTGGGCAGGAGATGGCATTGCTGAGGAAAGAAGCTGAAGGGATGGTTAGATGTGATGAGCAAGACAGGGCCCTGGGCAGTTTCTAGAAAGGAGAAGCGCCAGTTACTCCTCAGAGACAGGAGAGGGGAAACATTTGCAAACAGCCAAAGTGAAGACTGTCAGAAATTGCCAGAAAGAGATCTCCTGGAAGCATAATCCAAGACTGATCGCACTGAACGATACAAAGGGTGACTTGACACGGTCACTTTGCTAATTTTGCTGACACTGGTAAACCAGATTAAGTACTTTTACCAGCATTCAGAGGCCAAGGTGAGATCCCAGTCCAGCCATGGGATAAATAAGCTGGGGGTGGGCGGTTTTCCTGCCATACCACCCCTTTGACTGTCATTTATCCCTGTCCCCATTAGTATTTTCATCACTCAGTGTGTTTAAGTCAGGACGTTAACTTCACCCTCCACTTGAGCAGTTTGGCAACACCAGGTCGTTAACTTGATCAGTACAGTACTCATTCAGCTCAGTAAGATTTAAAAAGCTTGTTGGTAGCCTTTCATATTTTGATCAAAGCATTCATTTTCTTATGTTTGCTTGGCCTTGCAAACACTGGTAATCGCACTGGATTCTCAGAAACTGCTTATAACAGTCCTTGTACAAATACATTATTGCTTTTGAAAGTATGACAAATGTTTCTAATGCTTAAAAAATGTAAAGGCAAAAACAGACCTATGACCAGAGCCTGAGTAGTATTAGAGACAAATATATTTGATAGCAAAGGTCGTTCATGGGTTTCCTTTACTATTTTCTCATATATGTATAATCAGAGATACACAATTTTTTAGACAGAACTGAGGAGTCCAACCCATTAGTGAGTTACAAAATCGATTCACTAGGCTAGAGGATTAGAGTAAGGTGTGTCTTCAATCAAACAGAAGAAAGAAACAGAGATGGATAACACAAGCATGTGCCTGGGTGTGAGAGTGTGTATCTTTTGGTCTGTTGACTGCTGCTACCATAAGTGCGTGTCCTGGGGAGGGAGTGTGAACTGAGTATGTGTGCTTGTGGTGGATGTGATAGTGTGTATACTTACTGCGTGTTCAGGAGTGTACTGTGTCTGTACATGTGTATGTTAGAGGCATGGTATACAGTGCACTGCTTTTGAGCAATCACAATTCAAAAGGTTAAAAAACTTCTTTTAGACCACGAATCCTGTAAATGTAAAAAGAGCAGGGATGGCATAGGAGCGGCCATATCCGACCTCCACTGATGACACGAGGGAGAACTGCACCCATCAACAGCGTCCACAACACAGAACTCATTCTCATGAGGTCGGATATGGCCATTCACTTTCCTGCACTTCTCTCTACTCGTTTCATCGGCAGTCCTACTGTCCTCTTGGGTCCAAAATCCGTTGAAACAGCTCACAGACCATACAGAACCAGGTTTATTAGGAAAGTTAACAGGTTGGCAGCAGGATACAATCTGTCATTCCAGACAATTTCTCAGGCCCTTTGTCCTTCAGGCTCAAGGTTTAGGTCCGTGTCGTGAAGTGCCCTGGAAGGTGTTGGGTGTTGAGATTCCCCATTTCTGTTGCCGAATCCTCTCAATTTAAATCTAGTAGGGTGGTGGATACACTCCATAGCTGTATGATCCCACCCATCCATGTGACAGAGTAAAAACCAATGGATAGAAAAGCCGTTTTGAACAATAAACTCTCGGCATCACGGTATATATAGAATAAAATACCTTTTTTTAAGTTAATATAGGTATCAATAGGGAGCTCTGGTGGCCTAGTGGTAGGAAGCTGTACTGCAAACCCAAAGGCACATGGTTCGAGGCCACCAGCTGCTCTTCAGGAGAGGGATGAACAATCTCCTCGCATGCAATTAACTGCTTCTGAAAACCTGCCAGAGGGTCATCTGTGGGTCAGTTCCTACTCTACGGTACACGGCAACAACATAGATATTACTCAAGTCACTGTATTCGTTCTCTAGTGCTGTGGTAACAGAAATATCACAAGTGGGTGGTTTCAACAAACAGAAATGTATTCTCTCTCAGTTTAGGGGTCCAGAAGTCCAAAATCAGGGTGCCAGCTCTAGGAAAGGTCCTTGTCTGCTTTCAGTGTCTGTGGATTGGGCATTGCTTGGAAATGTCCACGTGTCTTGGCT